GCACTTGATGGGTACTGCCAACCAGGGAAGCTTACCTGAACCTTGGTGTCCAGTGTTTTTACTGGGAGTGGGTCACATGAGCATGGAGTGCCTGTTTGACTGACCTTAGCTACTCAGTCTTCAAACCCTCTGGAAGTCACACCGCCACATGATCCAAGGCTCCCACCATAAATCACATTTTTAGCATAAACTCTGGCATGGCCAAATGTCCTCAGGTATACAAAGACACTCTTTTCAGGCAGGGTATTCTAATGGTTTAGATGTTATCTCCCAGAAGCCAGTCCTTTTTTTGCACATAAACTGAATACCCCAACCCTGCTGAGTTAACCCTTTACTGCACACCAAGATTTTAATAATGAGTATATACAAAGAAGACAAGGAAAGAGAATGTGAGGGTTGTGAGATGCTTAAATTTGGGGAAGCTTTTGGGAGTCCCTGGGAATAGGGCTTCTACATCCTAGAAGGAGAGAATTGTGGAGAGAAGGCCACAATTGATGGAGGTGTCTAGCCCAACAGCACTGTGCAGGAAGAGAGCCAGAGCAGACATACCTTGACCTTAATCTTCTCCCTTTCTCCAGTGTCCTGCCAGTGTGTGATAGCTGTGATCATCAGTGGAAACCTGCCAGAATCCAGGGTCAAGGGAGCCCATTGCTGTCTGTATGTGCCAGGGTTGTGGGGCTAAGTACAGAGTAGAGAAGGGTAGAGGTTGGATGTGAAGGATCAACAAGAAGTCACCGGACACATACAACATGGCCCAAGTTTAAATTATCCAGTACATGAAAAGGACGTAGCACAGGGCTGGCTGGCAAGTGTGAGCACTTACTTAGTAGACACTTGCACCAGCATTTCCTTTGAGTTGCCTCTTCAACTGAAGAGACGCTCTCGGCCAATGGCTGGGTACCTGACTGGCTGTTACTGGGAGAGACTGCTCATTTTTAAGGGTGTTGGGAGAGAAACGATTTCATTTGGGATTAGAAATTGTTTTCAGGAAAGGAGTGAGGCTGATCACCACCAAGCTCAAGATACTACAAGAAGTTGACAGAGGGACTAAGGTCCCTGGGGGTCAGTTGTTAGGGTTAGAAGTGGGAGTTGCCTTGGAGTTTGAGGCAGCCCTCCCAAAGCAGTCCCTGAGAGTCCCTACCATTTGCACCTTGCTAGCTTGAAGGGAGCTGACTTGGATAGAGAAATAGAAGGAAGAGCAGGGAGATATGTCCAGGTAGAGAGCATGGTGGTCAGGAGCTCCAGCTCCAGAACAAACAACCGGGTTCCCCCTTCCAGCTGGTTGACCTTGGGAAAATAATACCACTTAGTCTCAGATTCCCCATCTGTGAAATGAGAGTAAGACCAGTGATACCAATAACTAAAGGATGAAATAATACATACAAGAGGCTTAGCACTATACCCAGTAAACAGTGCTCTATATGTATTAATACAAGGATTACTATACATGGAGAGTGTTTGGGAAGACCGGACATTTCTTATCCTGGAAGTTGTGGGAGTCTCTACGGCCCTAGGGAAGATCTTCCCATACTAGAGACAGTTTCTCTTATTTGTTCAAGAAATTCTTCCCTCATCCTGCTTAGGGCTGTGGAGTCTTTAGGGGGCAAATTTTCTTTCCTAGGCTCTGAAAGTATATCTGACCCTGGGATGTGTGACTTTCCAGCTATCATTGGGGGGATTCCTTGCTGTTTTAATTTACTTGTTATGGGGAAGGATAGGATGGCGCCCAGCTTTGCAAAGAAAGAAGATACAGAAGAATAGAAAGATGATAGGCCAGGGTCATGACAGAAGATACAACGTGGAACTAGACTCTTTCACTGAAGCTATGAGGAAGGAGCACGTGTGGTATAATAGAGGTAGCAGTGAACTAAGTCTGGGATTCTGGGTTCTCTCCAAGGTCTTTCAGGAACCAGCTTTGAGACCCTGGGTAGGTGTGTTGGGATGGTAGGATAAAGTTGGGAGGGAGGTTAGCTGTAGCTGCATATACTAAAATATCAGGAGTGAATCTATGAAACACTTTTTAAAATCCCTCTGGGCTAGTGTTACTGTCCCAGAAGCCCATAGAGGTAAAGTAGTGTTCCCATGATGCCATAGTGATGATTGGCAGAGCTGAGGTTCAGTCTCCTTCTTCCAGCTCCCAACTGGGTGCCTGATCCAGTGCACCTCTCCATCTCTAGGTGCTCAGAGATATTTGGATGATTGTGGCCTATTGACATCTGGGCTTAAAATAACTGAAGCTGTGGAGCTTGGAAAATAGGAGTAGAAGAAAAGGTCAGGAAATAGACCTGTGGGATCGGTAATTGATGCAACTGGATGTCCCATCACATACATAGGATTTGTTTTAATCACGCATGGTCAGAGACACAGGCATAGAAATGGCTGTCACAAGGAAGAAGCTTATATTCGCAGATGCCTACAAACAGGAAGCACAGCATGCCATGCAGGGCCACACAGGGAGACACCAGGGTTGCTTAGGAGGCAAAAAGAGGGCAAAGTGAGAGCAGGACCCTTTCTTGAGATTTTCGTTGGAAAAAAGGGAAGAGGCAGGGTGGGTAGACTGAGTAAACTTAAGGTTGGATAGTTTGAATAATTTTGGCAGGCTCAGGACTCCAGGAGTGGTTTTTAGTTGTCCAGTACCTGGTCCTGGGGTGACTTAAGGCAGATGGAATATTGGCTTGATGTGCAAGTTTGATAAAGGAGATAATTGGGTAGGGCTCTGGATTTTGGTTTGTATATCAAAAATCTAGGCTGGGCATGGTGGCTCATGCCTGCAATCCTAGCACTTTGGGAGGCAGAGGCAAGAGGATTGTCTGAGCCCAGGGGTTTGAGACCAGCCTGGGCAACTTGACAAGACCTCGTCTCTACAATTAATTAAAAAATTAGCCAAGTGTGATGGTGTGCACCTGTAGTTCCAGCTATTAGGAAGGCTGAGGCAGAGGATCACCTGAGCCCAGCAGGTCAAGGTGCGATAGCTGTGATCATGCCACTGTACTGCAGCTGGGGTGACAGAGTGAGACTCCAACTCCAAAAAAATCCAATCACCTCTGAGTCATTTGCTATTTCTAGGAATTAGCTACCTCTGGGAGGGACAGTCTGTTCAGAATCAAGGCCCCAAAGACCAGTATATTAAGGATACAGAAAATAAGAAAATAGAGTCAACACACTAGGCTTCTGGAAGCTTTCCACAGCTGAGGAAGTACATCTCCCAAACACAACTTTTTTTAGTAGTAAACAGTAATGATTCTGAAGCTCCTTCCTATGATGGTGCCGTTGTGTGTGTGCTGGATGATGAAGGGCCAGATGAGGGGGGCTGGACCCTGAAGCTACTGAGATGTTGTGGTGGGAGAAGGGGAAGACCAAGATCTATTGCTTGGTCTTCAAGAAAGAAAGCATGAAGGTGAATCAAGTAATGAGGCAAGGAATTCTGGAGTCCTGGGCTCCCATTGCCTCAGAACAACCAGGAAGTTAACAAGACAGAAGAGAAAGGAGCATAGCTTGATTTTTCAAAATTCACTCCCTAGTTCTCTTGAATAATTATAAGCACCAAGTATTGAGCAATTTCCACCATGATGGACATTTCCCAGCCACTGTCTCATTTAATACCTACCACAGCTCTATAAAGGACAACTCTATGGGGTTAAGAAAACTTGGCCCCACATAATTTGCTCAAGGTCACCTCAGCAGAGGCAGAGCAAGGGTTGAAACCAGGTCTGTCTGGTGCCATAGTCCGTGCTCCTAACCACTGTGCTATCCTCTGTCAACATCTGCCCCAGAACTGTACTTTGGTCCTTGTCATGCAGTCTGATGCATAATTTAATGGATGGTTTACAGCTCCTCAGTATAAGCAGACACCAAGGAAGAAAAAAACTAGAACAAAATATAAGGCTTCCACCTACCCAAACTGACAAGGAAAACAGAAGGCCTCTGCTCATCTTATCAAAGGAAACCCAATTTTAATAGAGCCTTAGAACTGGAAGAACTTTGAGATTTAGACAGTAGGGACTTGAAAGTGTTTTGAATGGTCTTAAGATGTTCCATTTCATTCTTTGTAACTGTCTCCTCAATGCTAAATTTTTCTACTTAGCTATGTGAGTTTTGTCCTAAAAAGTGGCAAGTAGGAATTAGGGTTCTGTAGAACTCCAGTGCACCCTTATTCTTCTCAGCACTGTTCACTCTTTGTAAGCAACAGATTTCAGGGGTCCATACCCCAACTTACCTGCCATTGTGATAAATCATCTATACTAGTGTTTTTAAGTATAATATGAG